AAACGTTGTGTTAGTATTCGAAGCCCACACATAAGCGACGCTATCAGATTTACACACGCCAGCCCAACCCAGCGACTGCATGCTCAGCAAAAGATTTGTACATACTCCTACCGTGTCATACTCTGTAATACACAATTACAATTCAGGTTCCCCAATAACTCTGAGTCTGGATTGGAACAGCGCCATCCTGCGTCGAGAGTGCAAGGTTAGGCTCACCTTTACCTTACATGTTGGCGTGTAAAAATAAACCTGGTGTCATGATCACGTGGGTATAGACATATATTACGTAGCCTGTCCCGTGACTCTTAGTTAAAGAATTATTCAGTTATCTGACGGTCATATTGAGCACTTGTTGCGTGAGTATACTGAATATGGACAGATATCACGTACGTCAGGAAAGGCAGGCCGAGAGGGTAAGTCCCTAGCTAGGATATATATTTAGCCACAATTCCTCCAGCTTAATACAAAATGATAGCTAATTTTTAAAGTGACATATAACATTTCCGGGTTCAAGCGACAGTGAGATCCGGGTTTACTCGCTCAGGCCACTAAAACAGCATAGTCTGAGGTGGTAGTTACGTAATGTTGGGACAGCTTCATCTGAAATCTAAAATCTAAAAGGGGCGGTGGTCGTCACTCGATCCGCGCGTCATGGTCGCTATCCACCCTGTGCAAAACGTAAACAAGTACCTATATACTCACACGTTCCCGGCCAGGTTTCGAAACTGTCATGATTTCACTAGTATTATATTTTTTTTAAATGTGGTACCCACCGTATTCTTTCATTATCTAGAGTTTTAAAAATACAGGGAAGAACTTTTCATATTGAACATGTTGTTTGTCCCCCCCCCCCACGTTAGTGTCCTGTGTGTTAAAAATGCAAAATGGATGAAAAACATGTAAATTGTGATACTGTTGTTGAGTGCTGTATGCTGATGAATACAATGGATTTTGATTTATCATGAACCAAAAACGCTATTTTTATATCAACCAGATGATTATTCATTTGATGGAGCATTGTCTTTTACTTCCATGTAGGGAGCAATGAATTTATCAGACATGTGTGAATTCTGATTGTTTTGGTACCATAACAACCACTGAACATTTGTGAAAGTGTTTTCCATATTTCAACAAACGAATACTAAACAGTCTGATGTTAAATCTGCATTATTAGTATTCAATACATGATAATTTATTCAGATTGGTCTTAATATTCCATATCAAATAAAGAAATTATAAAGAATACACATTTTCACCCATACACTTTATATTGTATAGACATAAATTTGTACGACTGGTACGCGCATTATTTTTAAATTGTTTCAGTGAAGGAATTATTGGGATTTCAAGAGTTTTAAACAAATTTAATGGAATATAATGTTTTTCGTTCATGACAGTGAATCAGCCAATGATTGAGGAACCCTGCAAAGATTCATGGGTAAAGGGTGTTACTAAATGGTTTCTACAGCCAATGAAAACATCTACTTTGGATTTATACCAAGCGTAAAGATGTTTCGAAACGAATGTTTTATAAATATATATAAACGTCCATAAAACAAAGACATGCCTTCATGAAACCCAGTGCATTGAATCATAAACAGCATGAATAACACATTTATCTGAAAAAAAAGTGCTGAATATAAGCAATTTTCCAAAATTTTTATGAAATTGTATTTAGCCACTTTAATATTGAAACCCAATACATCTTTTTTTATGACACACCAAGTAGCTGGTACGTATATCAGGTATGTAATAATTAATAATAACTGCAGTGTTTCCAGGAAATTGTAAAAATAGAATAATATGAATATATTTGTCTTCAAAGAAAAATCACAGCAGCAAAGGATTTTTAGTTTGGTTTTTAATTACCTTGGAATATAATAGATAATTAAAAAAATGACTATCATAACCACAAACATGTTCTCTTGATTTTTTATAAATATTTACAAATGATTGCAATTGAATCCAATCAGCCAATCAACAAGTGTTGCGCGCAATGACGTCAACCCTTTAGTAAATGAATATTTTTCTAAATCTAGTGTGTCACATACATGGGCATGAATGAAAGATTTGAAACAGCTTTAATGTTATTTTCAATTTTTCAATTAATAGAAACCTCACATTTCAGTTTAAATTGAGATTCATAAAAACAAGAGAACTGGTTTGTAGTTGTGATAGACTCTTGGCATGTTGATTACATGGAGAGGTAGGAATTGTTTTTTAAAATATTGATGTTATTATTTCCTGTGCAGCAAGAAGCACGCTTAAATAGAAAGGAAGCCAGACTACATGTCAAAGCAGCCAAAGCTGCCATGCGTGGTAACATTGTGAAAGCTGGTTGCATTGAGGTGAGTTGATTACCCATAGTATGTTACACTCTAATCAATCATAACAGAAACAAACAATGATTTAATTAGTATGCAAACTAAATTTTATATTTCTTGGTAAATCGAACATCCGTTAGTACACAACTGAATTGTTACACAACTATCGTGTTAGCTCTATTAGTAGTCCACACGCTTACGTATATAAAACTGGGTTTTTCTATGAATACTGTGACCTCATGTGATCCCTGGTCAATTAGAATTTCATGGTTGCCTGAGAATCTGCTCCCCAGGGTAAGGAAGCACATGGCCATGTCATGAGGGCGCTGCGCCCCTGTTCCCTTGTTCAATAAAATTATAACTTTGTCTTTTGTATATATATTCTGATTCCCAGGCCAAAGCTTATGATGTTCACCAGCGAGCTGACGCTGCTCACATGCGAGCAGATGCCCATCATTATTCGGCTCACAATCCAAGTCATCATCACTGTCACCCAGCAGGTTGCAAGTCTCATTGTGATAGAGTTGGGTACACTCAGCCTCACTGTCATGGAGTAACTGTAGTACATGTAAGTATACCAAGTATATATTACATCAGACTGTTATAATGATGAATTGTAATTATACATCTAGCTTTGAAAAATAATTAAATTTAACCTTCTGTAAATAGCTTTTAATGTACCAAAACGTATCTGCATTTGTTTCGACATTCAAAGATTTTCTTATATTTTGTCATGCGCCTCACTCATCTATGCACAACTTACCGGGTAGAGCACATTTTAGCACTGGAATTTGAATACAAAAAAAAACAAACGAGCACTACATTGTGGGTAAATAGGAACTCCTGAAAAAGTATTAGAATATCACCTTCAATCTATGTGGGAAATCATTTGACAAATTTACTTTGGTTATGGTTATTTCTTCCCATAAAAAAATAAAAATAAAAATTTTTGAAAAAACCTTGACCGGGCATATGACATCCTTATTCTCCCCTGAAAAGAAAGTTATGTTCAGGGCAGGTCCAGGTCAACCTATTTCACCTATATTGACACTGCACAGTGCCCTCTGTAGATGATTTTTTTTCCACCAAAAAAACTATTAAAAAACAATTTGACTAGAAACATGTTTTTTTTTTGCAAGGCCTAAGCATATATTACTATTATAATTAACTCTTTCCCTTCTTATCTTAGCATTACAGTAATTCATCTCCTGAGAGATATCCAACTGGAACCATACCACCACCCAGTTATCCCATGGGTGCTGTTCCACCACCTCAACAGCAACCGGTCGCATACCCACCATACCCACCACAAACCAGTTACCCAAGTCAACCACCTAATGCACCTGGTGAGTATATCAACACACATTATTGTAATTCAAAGTTGATGCCAGACAGCATTTCGTGGAGTGTGTGGTCTTAAGATGCAGAGATATTGAATTCAAATAAAACCGTTGAATGCAAGGGAACATTTTAGACGAGTTAGGAAACCTTTCTTACTCTCCAGTGTGGCCTATATACCATAACTTCATAAACGATTGACTGAACTGAGTCGGTGTTGTTATCGGTCGCCATGTTTCTCTAAAATACTTAGTAGGTAAGATACAGAGCAAGGCTGACACTGAGGGCATGCTTTTATGGTGGTGTTATTATTCACACATGCTAAAACCATTTCTGTAAGTACGAGGTGTTGGTTGAGACTTGCCATTTTGGGACGCCTTAAACTAAATCGGCATGGCGCCGGCTTATCTTGTTCTTACATGTTTCAATGCTGGCTTAACTATAAAGCTGATCTCCAAGCCAGGTGTTTTACACATGTGTGAAGTACTAGCCAGCCACCTGTCTACTTTCATTTTTAGAAACTCCTCAATTTAGACAGGTACATAACAAACCTGTCCACAATTGATTGAAAATTTTCTATAATTTATAAAATAACAATGGATAATCACCAAAAATAACCTAAAATTAGACAATCACTTTTCATTTTCTGTCTATAACCCTTACAGGACTGGTTTTATAGGATTCCTGATAAGACAAAATGGAACCCCTTAAAATAAAGTTCAATTTTAGTTCACTGAGATTGTTGACTGCTGAGAAGAGCAGTGTCCAAAAGAAACATGATGTCACTTATTTGAGGCACAAACAATGTTTGTCAAGATCACTATATCAATTTGTTATTTTCTGTCAATGATGCGCTGGTGAATAAGTATAATTAGTTACATCACAGCAAATCTGTGTGTGTGTCAGTAGCATGTCATATCAGCTTAGAGAACACACTATTTAATTACTGCCCATAGAAGTTTACATTTTATTAACCATGGTACCGAGTTAATATACAGTAATTCCACCATGATATGATAATTAATGTGTGACACTATAGTCTCAAACATGCAATTTCTGGTGAATTTCTGGTGGTACGGTTCTCTTTGCAATTGGCGCAGGGAGAGGAAATATTATAAAATGGTTACAATATCTCAACCTTTGGTTGCAAAAATCTGTTGAACACATTCTTCTCTGAATAGAATTACATGTCATATTGGTAATTACTTAGTCAGCTGTCATTCCATGATTTCAGGGCATGCACAATTGTCTTTGTCTCTTAAAAAGTGTGTGTTAATATATTTGCACCCTCACTCCTAATGTGTGTGTTGGTTTGGTTATAAAAAAAATTAATAATTCTTTCATCATAAGCAAAAATAGGAAGTATAACATTCACTAAAATAGTGAATTTTATTTGAATTTTTAGGGTTGGACCATTTAGAGTTATGGGGAGAGCTTGAAGACAAGAACTTCAAACTGACATTATTGAAAAAATATTTACCCCACTGTTTAAAACTCCAAGCCCCCCCTGATTTCAAATTGTCAACCCCTTAATTCCAATGTGTTTGAGCCATAAATGCTATATGACTGATAGTTTGTTCATTGCATCAAATGCATTAAAGCGAGAGGGTCGTCACCTGTGCATGCACGAGAATTGAGTACAAAACGACGATAACACTACATGCTAAACGCAAAGGCTCATGGGTAAACATTTGTTTGTAAACAATGACGCGCTATGGCCTTCTGACGTATGCACAGGTGACGACTTCCCCGCTTTAAATAATAGCGAGAGTCCTAGAACTTATTGATGAATTATGATATAAGGTTTTATAAAAAAAAAACAGTGTTTGATATAAAATATTTATTTTATTGCAGCATATACTCCATACCCCAATAACCCTCCACCAGCGTATTCAGGTATGCCAAGTTGATTTATTTATCTGTCTCCTAAGTATTACTATTGAAATTAAAGGCTTATATTCAATTAAACTGGTATATATACCTTTGACTTTCCATACAAATTTGATGATATTGTGTTATACTTTGTTACAGTTACATATACCCCTGGTACCATATATGGATTAATTTAAAATTCTATTTTTTTTAGGATACCCAGCTGAGACCAAATACCCTTATCCGAATTAGATATAATGTAATCTAAGCATCAACACTTAAGCATGGAGTGTAATTTACAATATACAACGCTGAAGACAGACTAGAGCAATATGGGCTGACAAATTTTACTATGTGACATCATTTAACTTTTTTTTAGACATTTTCATAGCCATCATCAGGATAAGTAATTGAACATGTTATATTTTTATCCGCATAGGTTAATGAACATTTATGGAAATTTTCCTGTGGTTTCATATAATGCTTTTAGCACCAGAACTATTTCTAAGGTTTTAACAATTATATGGTTTATCATATCTTATTTCTGATTACTTACTGGAAATAAAAAAAAGTCTATTTAAAAGTATACTGGTAAATAAAAGATTAATTAGCTGACTAATTTATTGTAAGCCTGTTTTGATAATGCATAAACACAAGTGAAGTCCATTTATTATGAATGATGCCAATTCAGTGAATAACAATATATTATATATATGACCTATATCTATATTGTAATTTGACCGAATAATTTACTTAATGTATTAAATGTGCTTGTACAATGATATATATATATATTATAATACACATTAATTAATATACATTAATCAAAAGAGGTTTTGGTAGGTTATTAAGGGTTGTACATTATTTCTATATTAATTGAAAATATTTAATATTTTCTGGAATTGAAAAGGTATGATTTGCATATTTATATTATACATAAGATTGTTGACTTATTAACATTTCCACTAGGTTAATAAAGGTAATAATATTTTAGTTTGAAGATGCAATAATTGTTGTGAAATTAGTTTGAAGTGTGTTTGTATTATTGCTATATAAAAAATTTAGTGGTATGTACCAATTAAATATTTGCCAAATTTTTTAAACAAACATCACATTTTTGGTTATCTTGGGAAAACATGCTGGGAAAACTATACAGGGTATTTAAGGCAGTTTGATCTGAATTCAAAGTTTTTATTACTTAGCATGTTAATGTTTTGATAATATTAGGATTTCAATTTGTATCTAAAAAATATTTTTGTTATCCCATGTAACCGAGTTTTTTTAGATAGAAATAATATCACCATAGTAACCAGTGTAAACATATCAATTCTGACTATTCACCATGACATTTAGCACTCTATCTGTTGGCAGGAATTTTTGTTTATTTTTGGTATCTGGATAACATTGAACCTATATTAGTGAAAGTATTCCAACATGACATATCTTCAATTTGACTTCAATAAAGTAACCTTAAAAAATGGATTAAATATATAAGATTACACTGTATTTTTTACAAGTGACCAGCACATTTTTTAGGAGACCAGCACAAGAAGGTCCATTTTTGGAGGAGTATTTGCGACTTAAACCTATGTGGTATTGTACACTTTTTAGAATGAGAACTTGAGAATAACAGAGAGCAGCATTACAGAACCTCGGACCAAATGCACCACCATCTACTACTGTAAGTTGTTGAATGTATTAAATTTTTTTTCTAAAAAAATTATCCAATTTTACTTCAGCATTTTCAATGCAATGAAATTGCCAAAATAGATGTAAAATATGACTACTCTTGTAATGTAAAGTATGTAACACAATAAAAAGCCAGGGTAAGTTGTTAGGACTAAATGGTCGAGCGACAATCCCGAGTTGCTGTCAAGTACATAATTCTTAGCCTTTACTGTAATACCAGGGGACTGACTGAGCTGTTAAAGTCAAGTTTTACAGTGTGATAATCACAGGTGAAAGAGCTCCTCAAATGTAAGAAAATGCAATTCACGCCTTTTCTATATAACTTTTCGTTCTACTTTTTATGTTCACTTTTTGTCCACTTGTTATCTTGTATTGTTAATCTTTTTTTTTATTATTATCTTGTAGTTTTTAGTGACCTTACTACTGTACTTTTCCAAAGTCAGTGTTTTGTCAATAAACAAATAAACTATATATTCGTATACGTTGTCCACCATTTTGATTTTCCTTCAAGGAGTCATGGGTAAGAAAATGACTTCACAACCTGTGTTGCAAAAAGAATTTTATCCATAACTTAAGAAATACTGACACGAATTAATGCAAATTTAATAACAGTTCAACAACACAACATTGCAAAGACATAAAAGTTAAAAAATGAAATAAATAAAAACATTTTGGTTATTTAAAACAGAATAACTCCTTTTTCCTAATACTAGTATGTATGTTGCAGCCAACGACTACTCTGTATAAACTACTATTATCAATCAATTGTATAAATATAAAAAAAATACAAATTTGATATTTAGAGAATGAAAAGTGATATAAAACAAATGTGAATTGTATTTTCCTTCATTTGTGCATCTGAAAACATTAGCAAAGACTTCTTCTTAAAAGCGGGGGAGTCGTCCCCTGCGCATGCGTCGGGTGGCCATAGCGTATCATTGTTTACAGACAAGCGTCTATCCATGAGCCATGAGCGTGTGTTATCGTCGCTTGGGACTCAATTCCCGCGTGTGCGCAGGTGACGATCCTCCCGCTTTAATTAAAGCTAGTAACAATATAGTTCAAGTCAGAACCAACCATCACCAAATACCAACCATTGATGCTTATAATGCGTATTTTTTTAATAGATTTCCTCACGGCAGAATGAGTACATCGTTTTTCTGGGTAAGACTGCGGGCTTTATGTAAGGTCTCGCTTTGAATTCATACTTTCCATAATTTCCCGGAAAGATTCAATTAATTGAAAAAAAATTTGGCCTTTATACATACGATATTAAATTGGCTGTTACTAATGTGTTACGTAATCCTATTGTTGCATGATGTCTTCCACGATAAGTTAGACCATGGAAGAAATACTAGCAATACTAACATATTCAGGCCCGTAGTTTTTTTTTTTTTTTGGGGGGGGGGGGGGTCGGTCGAACCCCCTAAATTTTGGAAGTGAATAGATTTATGATCGTAGATTAGAACATAATAAAACAAACAGTATTAATTAAAATAATTATAATCGTTTAAATCACTTGATTCGGTGAGGTAACTATCAGACTCAGCCAAAATTGCATAGTAATCAGCATTTTGGTGGAAACGAGCTTTAAATGTTAATCGTAAAGTTACGCCGTCTCAGCTCAACAGCAGCAAATAAAAAAAAGTTGTTATAAATGGGCAAGCTTTTATTCAGTGTAATGAAGATCGCGTTCAAGCAGCTGATGTTAAATATTAAAACAACATTGAAACAATAATGTAATTGTAGTCACTCTCTGAATGATGTGGTGGTCCTGAATAGGGTCGTTTGTCTTGTGCTAGTGATCGCTCAGTTAGTAAAGTGTGGGGGTCGAACGGGATTGACACGACAACACGACACTGTACTTTCCTGGTTTGGTTGTATTCTTCAAGTTAATGATGGCATATATACTGCTTTGTTCCAAGTGTATCAGCCAAATGTAGTTAACTTCTTGTATTAGTACGTGTAGCCTGTGTTATTGGACAATAGTGTACAGCTACGGGTTGGACATATCATTTAAAAATGCCGAAGATTTATCACGAGTTGTATAGATCGAAGAGCTCCTTGCAGCCAACAATTCACCCCACAGTGTTGCTTCAGCACTGAAACTATGCGATGAATCATATTTTTCAAACATATTTTTACACGTTTTTTTATGTCTTAGAAAATTTACTATATTTTAGTGGGTTCATAAAAAGGAGATGTAGTCATTGAAGTCTATTGAGACCGCTGCTAAACTGCCACTATATGCATATTACTTTACCGCCCTCTAAAAACAGATTTACAGTGAACCAACAAATTTACATACTGTAAGAAACTTGGTAGTATGCCATTGGTTAGTGCATTTAATTTGTCTGATGCAATCATTGTGCCAACTATTTCTTATGGTAGCGATATGGGGGTACGAAAATTCGGAAATCGAGAGGGTACAGACAACATTTTGCAGATATCTACTTAGCGCTAATAGTTGTACAAACAATGTATGACGAATGTGGAAGGCTGCCATTATGCTGTGGCGTTGTATCTCATATTGGTTAAAATTACTTGAAGTAAAAAATAGCTGGAACCCAAAAACATGTTATATAATGCTTAAACGATTAGACAAGACTGGCAGACTTACTTGAGAAACCCACATAAAAATCTCCTGTTCAAATGTGTTTTGGCATTGTCTGGTTTGAAAAACAAGTTGGAGATACCGCACATTTCTTAGAGATATTTACTCAAAGAATAAAAAAAATGTTGTCAGCAAGAATGGCATGCCTCAATTTCACAATCATCCAGGCTGTGTGTACTTTCGGAAAAATCAAAGTAGTATTATTACCTGGGAGATTCATTGGCAAGCAATTATAGACTAAAATATATACTGACGAGTTTTCGTTGTTTTGGCCATAAACATAATGTTGAATTAGGCAGATACACAAAAATACAGATCTATAAATTTTTAGTTTTTGCAGTGATACGTTTGAATTTAGCATGGTAGAAAATGAAATTCACTTTGTTTTATATGTCCATTTTATAATGATCTAAAGGCTGATCTTTTGTCAATAACACTATGCAATTATGCAAATACTGACAGTCTGGGCTTACTTCGTCGCTACACAAACTGCCACACGATATATCAACTAGCTCTGTATCTTTTAAACGTTTTCAGGCGACGAGATGAATATGAATCCAGCTTAACCTAGTACCATATGTTTACATGGATGTTGTATTGTTTTTAAAACGTGTTATGCTCTTTTCTATCCATTACATTTTGTGCGATGGGCTGAGGCTCTGTACAGAAATACAATCCAAAATTGAGCTTCAAATGGTTGCCATACTTCAAGTTATTATCCTCGAAACGTGCCACAATAATTGTTCTGCCGACTAACAAAAATCTATATACTACCCGAATGAAATGATAAGTCACATAAGGTGATGCAAAAGCCCATGACTCTCCGGAAGTGGCGGCACGAAATTTTACGGGGGAGGGGTCTGCTCACCATCCCTCGGGCCGAAGGCGCGACCTTACTGGGGGGGGGGGGTGTCCAGGGGCATGCTCCCCTTGAAAATTTTGAAATCTAAATCCTCTTAAACGCTATTTCCTTCATTTTGAGGGACAAATTTCGTAGACATAAAGGGTTTCAGCTTGATTGGGGGGGGGGCGTGCCGCCGCCACTGCGCTCAGTCACGGTGATACTACGTTATATGTAAGTGAA